GGGGCTATATCGGCCAGCTGGAGTTCGGTCTCCTTACTTTTACTTCGTGCTTTCTCCACTCTGAAAAAAATGTTTATCGCCATGATCTGGCAAGAAGTGCATGAAAATGATTAATGGTTTGACCATTTGATCATCCTCGCTTTATACAGGTAGATGTCGAATCCCTCTTACGAGTACACACACCATCTATTGATAGCTCCACAAAACGCTCTCTCGCCCTAAATCGAAGTGAAGTATCGTCAATAATATATTGAGTTCCTATTAGATTTAAGTCCTGTTATATATATATATATATATATACTTTTACGTTATATTCATGTTCATTTACCACTAATAATGATTTAATCAACTTTGTAAATATGCTTATGATAGTACCACCTCATCATTGAATAACGTAAATAATTAGTTCAATGTACTTTTCTCTATGATTGATTTCATCTCCATGTAGATGCAGAATTATTATTATTACGTAGTTAAATCATCCTTGTAGTAGTTGAAGGAATATCTAACGTTAATAAACTTAACCATATTTCAGATCGGTTAATCATATACTTTGACTAAATTTTTGAGTACATTTTACTACGCGAAGTTATTCGTCTAATTAGTGAAGTTATTCAACTAATTAGGTTTTCATTCTTCTTGACTTGATTATACTTCACTTAACTCAAATCGCGCAACCCTCAGATTAGTTGTGTCCACTCTGAGTATTTTTTACAGTGTATATAATAATAATTGTTATTGGGGATTTATAATTTTCGCATGATTTGGCTTATGTATTTACTGCACAGTATTGTTAATACAAATAATTTTGGAGCAACATTTGCACGAATTTTCACATATTATTGTACAATATGAAACAGAAAACTTACTTGAAACAGACTTAGAGCTAAGCAAGCCACGCTAATTATTATAAAAAAGAACAGCATTACCTCGAATTTAGAAAGCAAATATTTGCACAATCTTCAAAAACAGAAATACGTTATTTATATAATAGTAATAAACATACTCTACTGTATGTTGTGGGCATGTATACCAACTTCATGGCTTGTCCGTGAATATCGACGGCACAAATTATGCCTTCGCTCATTAAAATCTTATTCTTCGGCGTAATACCTTGTTGAATATTCATGTTTATTGCATGCTCGATACGATAGCTGTAAATGTTTATGTCATTATGCAATAGTGTAATTGTACAGTAATTTATTAAATGACACGATTTTTCAGCAGAAAATACATAATTTCATAAACTTTTTAATGTATTTTGTTATTTAAATATATTATGTTGTTAAAAGGTTGATTTTGATTACAGTTCAAATTATTATGGTTATTCCTACATCTTCATCCGTACCCAGCAATTTTGAACATTCCATAGACATAATGAAAATATGTAATAAAGAATGTTTGTACTGCTAACATCGTAGTTGCTGTGATACATATAACTGCGTAGATGTGCAACAAAATTAAATAAAAGTATTTTTCTTGATCGATAAAATACTCCATCACAAATGGTAGACGAGATATGTTTTTTGGTATAACAAAGAGATCATTCAACAAATACTGACCGATAGTACAAATAAATCCGGCAATAATGACAAATACTAAAAAATATTGGAAAATATTTTTATTAAAAATTGTGCAATATAAGATTATCAAGATTTTAACTATTTAGCACACGCATGCACACACACACGCACGCACGTACATAAATTATAAAATTGTATACTATTTCGTTAATATATTTAATTTCTGTTTATAATTACTCTATATATTATTTATGCAATTTGTACAATATGTTATTGCACAAATTGCCTACTAACATGTTATTATTCATTTTAAACGCATATATGTGGCAAATACTGTAGTAGAATCCGTGTGACATATCATACATTAAAATCTGTAGAATTATTATTTAACATGATTCTACAAAACTCGATTTAACTTCGTAGTTCACAGTTAAATAATAATTGTGAGAGTAAATTTGAGAAGATTGTTTTACTTGTAATTATAATTGTGTAGCGTCTTGCAGTGTAATTATATTCTTTTACGATAGCAACTTCGTTTTTATCTTTTACTTGATTACATATATGCTCAAGTTGCATTAATAAATCCTTTACCTGTTATTCCAATAATTTCATATATTGTATTTGTATATAATAATATTTAATAATTTTTTAATATATAACAAGAATTCATTTGACACGGATGGTTATGGTGTCAAACGTATATTCTGTAGGGTAAATCTACTAGTTATGGATCACTCTTTAAAAAAAAATTATATTTTTATCTAGAACAAACAGTTAATAGAATTTTTTGGAATATTTAATAGTTATGATTGATCATAAAGATTACATTATGGATGATTTTACTTTATTTCACATTACCACTTTATATTTTTATGCGAATTAACTAAAGTAATGACAATTATCCTCAATTAAACCCCATGATCTAATTGCGTTTCAGTTCATAAAATACTTTATCCTTTCTGATAGCGTTCCTAAATCCCGTAAGAAATATGATTTACACATGAATATCGTAATATATACAACGAAATTTAATTGATAATTCATTTCTAGTTCTAGGATCAAATTATGGATCATGATGCAATTTTAACACATTCAAGTTTATTTAAAATTAGTGACAGTTAAAAATCAATAATAATTAAAAAATATTAATTATATTATACGTTTAGCAATAAAAAACAGTTAAATTATGGATAGGAATACTTTTTGCATATAGACGTGTATACTATTTTATATTCTATTTTGATATTTGAAACAAATAAATCTTTTCGGGATGGCATCATTTGTATAAGATTTGATAAGTTTTTAAACATTTTTCTAATTAAATTTACGCAATAAAAGTATCATTACAATATAGGGATTAAACATAGTGTTTAAACTCCCGCGGATACATTTATTGTCAACTGCGCATAACGTTGATCTTTCCCAATTATTTCAGATTTAATGCTATTTACTATCTACTACAAAAGCTATGAGGTAATTCTTATGATGTTACACTTTGAATGAATTTTTAAAGATACATATATTAGTTAACTTCGCACATTCAATTAACATTAGTTAACGATAACAATAATGTTTAGAGCTGTTCCTAATAAATTAAATTTAATTGATACTTGAAAATGATAATGCAAATGTTAAAGAATCTTATGATGTGTACCATTTAATGGAAAATACTATAATTATTTAAATATAAAAAGTGATCCGGAACTAGTGCCTGAGCCACATCTAGTACTTTTTTTATTCTAATTTTTCAACTTACAGTTTTGATGTTAAAACAGAATGAGTTGTGACCTATTATGCAAATAATAAGGAAGGTTGTGCAAGACAAGATCTTGCTGACGAGATTTAAAGTACATTTTGAGGTCATTAGAGTTGTCAACTATCAGTAGTAATTTTGTTTTTAATTACATGTTTATAAACAATTATAAATTTATATAATATTTATATTACATATTAATGAGATAGACTATTTGATAATGAAGATTTGCAAAATGATAACTTATCACGCATTATTGCTATTATACTCTGTTCTTACCTGAAATACAATACCTGTTATCAGAATAGTAGAAATGAGAATAAACTGAAATCGTGTGAATTTAGATTGCTGATAGGGCCACAAGCCGGTAACGAGCAACAGAATTCTATTGAAGCTAAAATATTGAATCTCTGGCCGAATCATTCTCTGCCATGTTCCGGATGCGACTGGTTACGAAGTACGACTCATACGATTATCCCTTCTCCTTTTCCATCGATTACCTTAATATTCTCTCTTATCGTGTAAATTTTTAGTGTGAATGCCATAATTTGTATAATACGAGGCTATACAATATATCCATTGTAAGATCGCAAACTCATTCATATTTTAGTAGTGTGTTCTGCAATAAGAACTATTAAGGCATTATTCCAACATCAAGAAAATTTCAAATGAATATCTTCTTTTAATAAAAAAAAAAAAAAAAAGAAAACCGTTTATCAAAAGATACAAGTCACTTACGCGCATCTCTGTTTTTTGGTGCGATAACTTCATTTTTGTATGAAGAATATCTAATCAATCTGCCGCATCTCGTCGGTTCGCGTAAAGGAGGCACGGCAGTGTCGCTGCGCTTGGCTTAGCGCCGAGACACTACCGTGTCTCCAGATATGATGAGTTTCGTCTTTGAGATTATTATTCTCCATATTTTTTCTTCAGTATCGACCGTAATTAATACGCTGAGAAAAAAATAACCTAAATTTAAATAATTATTTATTTGAATACTGCCAATTAAACATTTACTTACAATAAATAAATATTATTTATAAAAAGTAGTAATTGTTAAATCAAATTAATGTGTTTTGTACCAAATAAATGTATAATTATATTTAATAAATATTTAGTTGGTATTGTTCAAATAAATATTTATTGAAATTTAGATTAAGATAAACGTCCCAGTGTCCGGACATGTACCTATGTCCAGATATTTACACAATATTTATTATCATTAATCTCAAATATTTTTTTTACAATATTATAATTTAATTGCACTTAAAGATTAAAGAATAAAATTATAATATTACGTTTTAAAAAGCGTATTTGAGACTAATATTAACTTAAATAAATAAAATTTTATGTAAATGGACATATGTCCGGACATAGATTCAGTGTTAGGACATACATGTCTAATCACTGGGATCGAACAGTACCTATGTCCGAACAGTTACACAAAACTTTATTTATTTATATTAATATTAATCTCAAATGTTTTTTTTACCTTAAAGATAAATTTGAATTAATTGTCTTTTGTCATTAAACATCTCTCTCTCTCTCTCTCTCTCTCTCTCTCTCTCTCTCTCTCTCTCTCTCTCTCTCTCTCTCTCTATTTATATTATTATTTTCCGTCAGCATATTAATTTTCCAATTGTGGTCGGGCACTAGGACAATTATGTCTCAGTGTCCAACCGACTTGTCCGGCCTCTGGTACATTGACGTATTCTATTATTTATTTAAATATTTTAATTAATAATTGTTATAAGTAGGTTCAAATAATTTTTCCTTGTTTAAGGGAATCTTGGGTTTTCAAATGAATATAAATATTTATATTAAAAACCTTTTTGATATTATAAATTGTATTATTTATGAGAATCTAACGCTTAAACATCCGGCTACTGGGACATTTATCTTATATTTTCTCAATGTACATCTCATGTCAATTAAAAATATGGTATTTAGACCAATAACATTTTCCAAGTATATTGCTTTATATTTTGTGAAATATTGTTATAATATTACTAACATTATTTATTAAATATTACTTTAATTCTACAGTAAAATAATTAAATCTGTTATTTATGTATATTTGTACGATATGTACAGTTTTATTAATAATACGTTTACAGACGTTTTAGACGATTTCATTAATGTAAAATTAATTATAATCTTGGTTTAACTTACTGTTTATCTCTCTCTCTCTCTCTCTCTCTCTCTCTCTCTCTCTCTCTCTCTCATACTTCAAATTAGAAAAAGATAGAGTAAATTGAATCGAGATTTAACCTTATGTTGGTGAATATAGTAAATTGAATCGAGATTTAATCTTATGTTGGTGAATATTTTTGATTCTGTGTTTTTTTTTCAAACGTGAGAAATGCTGTGATCTTCTTCAAATTTATGTTTTCTCATGCTCGTATTTGATTCGTATTTGTCTTGTCACTGTGTAGATAATATGACAATAAAATAGGATACCGAAGCTTTTATCAACTGCAACCATATTATTGCGTTTACTTTTAATATACTGTAGTATATTCAAGAAAACACTGTATGATCTTACCGTGGCAAAGCACTCTAATGATGGAATAAATAATCTGCCGACACTCAGATGGAAATTTTTATTGCCTTTTGTCAACAGGAAAAGTATCATTCTCTGGATGTGCAAGGGAGTTACATACCATTCAACTCTGTATCTACATAAATTATTAAGACAAGATAATTGAGTAGAATAAAAGTAAGAAAATTTACAAATAATATTTTCTTTATACATACAAATAATTTTACGTTAATTGTACGATACTATTGATATAAAATATTTGTTTTGGTACAAAAATTTATAAAGTGAACCTTCTTGTTACTGTTTTTCGTAAGAAAGTCCCTTACACAGTAGCAAATACGTAATTATTGTGATCCGTTATATTTTGCCCAAGAGAATTCGATATAAATAAATATTGTACTATAAAAACAGCTGCAAATAACGCAGGCAATAAAGCTTCTTTAGTAGCTTCCTCCGTAAATATAATCTGAAAAATCTGAAATACGAATCCCACACGACTGTAGTTAATTTATTGCGCTTTAATTGTTGGCTTTAATTGTAACTGTTATTTTACGATACGGTTTTGTTTCTTTTAAGCAGACATAATCTACGGCTGCAGAGCCTCAGGGTCAAGGCTCGAAGAGCCTGGAACAAGGCGAGGAACACGCGCCGGCCCTCCGACTGGGATCTTTACAGGAAGACTCAGAAGGAGTATAGAGACTCTATGGTAGAAGCAAAGAAGAAGAGCTGGCGGGATTTCTGCGAGTCGGTGGAGGGAATACCGGCCACTGCTAGGCTTTGCAGATTTCTGTCCAGGAATCCAGATACTGCGTTAGAAGCAGTTCGAATGTCAGACGGTACCATGGTATCCGAAGAAAGATGCCTGGTGCACCTTCTGGAGGCCAGTTTTCCTAGTTTCCGGAAGGATGTAGATAGGTGCGAGGAAGTTGGTACGGGCATGTGCCAACGATTGGAAGTTAGCGGCAGAAATAGTGAGGCCAACCAGAGTTAGATGGGCGATTGACTCCTTTCAACCGTTCAAGTTGGCGGGGCCCGACCTTTTCCCGGCTCTTCTTCAGAGAGGGCTGGAGCAGATAATCGGGCCCCTCACGAGGATGTTGAGGAGCTGTCTAGCTCTTGGTTACACCCCTCGAGCGTGGAGAAGGGCGAGAGTCGTCTTTATTCCCAAAGCAGGGCGGGCGAACCATGTCACTGCTAAGGACTTTAGATCGATCAGCTTAGTCCTCGTTCCTTCTTAAAACGTTGGAAAAGCTGGTTGATGTATATATCAGGGACTGCGTGCTAGCTCGGTATCCGCTACATGCCAAGCAGCACGCTTACCGGGCTGGCCACTCGAGTATATCGTCTCTCCACTCGGTTGTCTACAGTATTGAACAACTCCAGGAAGGGGGCTTTTTGGTAGGCATCTTCCTGGACATTGAGGGGGCCTTCAACAACACTCCACATGAGGTGGTTTGTGCCGTGACGGCAAGACAGTATTCCAATCGAAGTTGGTAGCAATCATGGGCTGTGCTCAAACGCTAACCGCATCAGGTGAGACAGGCAGACGCATCAGAATATCCTCTGATAGCAGGGCGGCTCTGGGGACGCTGGGGGCATGCGTCTTTGACTCGTGGCTGGTCTGGGAGTGCAAATGTGCTCTGAACAGACTGTCCTCGGGCAACGATGTTGCTTTTGTATGGGTTCCGGGACACTCGGGAATCAAAGGTAATGAGATTGCTGATGAGCTAGCAAGAAGTGGCTCATCAGCCAGGCTGGTGGGACCGGAACCGGCTCTAGGTTTGCCCAGCTGCATCTGCAGGGCAAAAATAAAGGGCTGGTTACGGGACCGTCATATCAACTATTGAAAGGAAGAAACAAGAACCAAATGCAGGCAGACGAGGGCCCTGCTGAGAGAGATGCTCAGCAGGGACCTTGCCAGGAGCATTAGGGTCTTGAGGCGAGGGGAAGCCAGGCTGGCGGTGCAGATCTACACGGGCCATGGCTTCACTAACTATCACATGCACAAGCTGGGCACAGTGACAACCCGAAGTGCAGGAAGTGCGAACAGGAGGAAGAAACCTCTCCATGTGTTATGTGAATGCCTAGCGTATGCAGGACAAAGGCGGCTTCTTTTGGGCTCGGTATTTCTCGAGCCTGAGCAGGTATGTCAACTCCAGGTCAGGGACTTCCTCCGTTTCTGGAGGAAGACAAGTCTGATCTGATCTGGAGATAGTACAGCCGGGAAGACACAATGGACCTAGTCTGCGTGTCGGCGGGCCCCAACTGGTGGCTGCCTCCCGAGCTTATTATTATTATTATTATTATAAGCAGACATAAGAAAGTATGATTGATTTGACCTTGGATAGCATCACCAAAGTCAAGTCAAGGTCACATCGATTTTTTTAAATGGAACTCCCTATTTTTCATTACATTTTCTTGTAGTTTACCTCGAGAGCTTTTCAAAATACTATAATAAAATATTTTTTCATTAAGTATTTTTCGAGTTACAAGGCTCGAAAGTTACAATACAGCCGGCGTTAGTATTACACAAGTTGTCCGACCAATGCCTAAAATCTCTTGAATGTTGTTCAGGATCATGTCCTGGATAACATTTGTCAAGATCAAGGCCATTGGAAGTTGTACCTCTTATTTTCATTTTTACGTAAAAATTTTTAGTGCAAAAATGAAAATAAGAGAAATAATCTCCAATGGCTTTGATTGTCGGACAACTTGCGTAGTGCTAATGCAAACTATACTGTAACTTTCGAGCCTCACAACTCGAAAAATACTTAATGAAAAAATATTCTATTATAGTATTTTGAAAAGCTCTTGAGGTAAACTACAAGAAAATGTAATGAAAAATAGGGAGTTCCATTTAAAAAAATCGATGTGACCTTGACTTGGCCTTAGCAAAGTCAAATCAATGGTTCCTTCTTATGTCCCCCTCCGAACCATACAACTTTTGTTGAAACATTTTTCCGTGTCTACTATAGTTTTCGAAAAATCTTAATGCATTATTTAAAATGGGACACCCTATATATTATAAATTATCTAATACTTGATTAAAAATATAAGGATAATATAAAATCCGAAACTTACTCGAACAAAGTTGAAACACAACGAAACTACAAACATCTGCGCTAAACAGAAGAACATTATCTCAAAATAGGATAGTATACTTTTGGATAATCTTCAAAAATAAGTAATTATTATTACATATATTTTACATATGTAGGATTATATAGATACTAACTTTATGGCTTGCCGATGTATATCTATAGCGCAAATTAAATCCTCGGGTCTTGAAATTTTGTTTTTCACGTTAATATTTTGCATAATATTAATATTCACTGCGCGTTCAATACGATAACTATAAATAATATAATTTTTTAACAAAGAATTTCTTTATTGTCGCAAAATAAACTTCATCTCATTTGTTCAACACGGTATTGCAGTTTTATTCACAACTTCAAGTATTTGTTTTGTTTTATACCTAGAGATTTTAAACATCCCACAGATAAATTTAAAATACGCAATAAGCATGGTTCCTGTTGCTACCATTACAGCTCCTCCTATAATTATTGCTAAGTTCATATGTAATAGAATTAAAAAGTAATATTTTTCTTGATTAGCAAAATATTCTGTTACGAAGTACGGGCGACTTGATCGAGATATATTCGTCGATAGACCAACTTCAAACATACTCCAAATTTGAACAATAATACTAACAGATATTGAACAAATGCCAAATACTAAAAAATATTAGGAAAGAATTAATATTTGTATTTAAAAATGTTTGTTATACGTTTAAAATTATTTCAGATATATATATATGTATATGTATGATACTTTTCAATTATTTTCGGTAAATATTCACAAAAGGTCATCACATTCAAAAATCAATGACTTTGACATATGTTGTCAAGGTCATGATTCTGAGTGAGTTCCAACAAGTTTTAGCCGTCGCTCGTTATCCGTTAAGAAGTTATAAACAAAAAAAGTTTGAAAAATAATGTGTCTTTTACTATTGTATATAAAACAGAAATTTTTGGCTTTAAAATATATTTTATGACTTTCCACGCGAAGCGACTTCCACTCCACCTCTCTTTCTGCTTCAGGTGGCGCACGACTTTCCACGCGAAGCGACTTTCACTCCACCTCCCTGCTTCAGGGGCGAACGACTTCCACACGAAGCAACTTTCATCCCATCTCTCCCCCTGCTTCAGAGGCGCACAACTTTTCATGCTCCCTTTCAAATGGGGTGGAAGTCGCTTCGCGTGGAAAGTCGTGTGCCTCGTAGCAGAGGGGGAGGTGAGGTGGAAATCGCTTCGCGTGAAAAGTCGTAAAATATATTTTAAAGCTAAAAATTTCTGTTTTATATACATATGTATTTATATAGTAAAAAAAGGCACATTATTTTTCAAATATTTTTTTGTTTATAACTTTTTAATGAATAACGAGCGACTAAAACTTGTTGAAGTTCACTCAAGGTCATGACCTTGACAACATATGTCAAGGTCATTGATTTTTTAAGATGCTGACCTTTTGTGAATATTTACCATTAAACTCAAATGATATGCCTTACCTACGTTGTATATATATTCAAAGATATACAATATATTAAAAAAATTCTATTGTAATTTGTCAAAGTCGATTTCTTTAAATTAAAATCTGCACAGCTTACATGTTAAATAAGAAAACGTAATCATATAAAACTGTGAAAATGTTATCTTACTCGTAAGTGCAGCCGTATAGCATTTCGCAATGTAACCATATTTTTCTATGATAGCGATTTCGTTTTTGTCTTTTAATTCGTTACATATATGCTGAAGTTTTATAAATAACTTCTTCACCTGTTATTTTAGTAACTTTATATATCATCTTTGTATGTAACAGTAGGTATTAGAAAAATTGTTTGATATAAAAATTTAACAGATATTTCGTAATATTTATCAACGTACAGGTTCAATATTAACGCGAAATGTATAATATTTTATCATGAAAATAGTCAAAATAGATGCAGAAGCCAAAACCGTGACGATGACATCCGAAGTCAAATTTTTTGTTATAAATGTTGTCAACTATAATTATATATTTCTAAATTGTAATATAATTATAAATTGCATATAATGATAATTATAACACACTAGATAATATAGATTGATACAAATTATTTCAATTATTTCTTAGTAAAAAATTGTTACATATTAATTTTTTTATGCAATAACCCTAGTGGAAATTTCCTCATGGGTAATTCCAAAAATGCCCATGACCCACCCATTTTAGATGGGTATATACCCGTTCCAAATCTTCCCATCATGAAGAGATTTCCACCAGGGAATGTTATTACATGCTACTCACCTGAAATATAATACTCGTCATTAAAATAGCAGAAAAGAAAACAAATTGAAATTGAGTAATTTTGGATTGTTGATATGGCCACAAGCCAATAGCGAGTAGTAAAATTCTATTGAGACTTAAATACTGAGTTTCTATACAGATCATCACTTCGCTAAATTCTGTACAAGAATGATTGTTAAGAAATCGACGAGTATCTTATCCCCCCCCTTTTCCATTGATCAATAGAAATATTCTATAACTTCCATCTTCTAGCGTAAATTTTAGCGCATTATGTAATTTTGTTTAATGCATGATATTACGATGAAATCATAATACTCGCAATTTTCTATAAATTTCGTAATGAGAGGTGTACCTTTACGCTATCAATTTGATAGTATAAAGGTATAGCGAAAAGAAATTTTACAAATATTTTGTCATAAAAAGTGAAGTACTTGTAAGAAAAACTAAATAAGAGTACCACAATATTGTTGTGTATTTTCTTATTTGTTGGTGATGTGATTTTACATATTTTATTCTTGTATGTAACTACAATACGTTACGTTTGATTTTTTAAGAAAATGTTATTCACTGAATCTTAAATATCGCTATTTACACTTAGCCGCAAACTTTAACATTGTAATTTGTCTCGACATTTATTTTATCATCTACACGTATTTTATTTTAAAATGAACAAAAATATTTTTATCAATTATAAATAATATTATAATGTTAAAAATAATATAATCTTGTGTTTGTGTGTGTGTGTGTGTGTGTGTGTGTGTGATAGAATATTTTTTAATAATTGCAGGATAATCTTATTATATTTTCATCCTTAAGAAAGCCGCAATTCAACAGTTAATATATTTTTCGCAATTTGCATGACTCGTGATTCCCTAATAGGAAAGGTGTATCTAGATCATCCCGTCCCATTGAGACCCGCGTAATGCAAACAGGTGTCCTAGCGACAGGAGGGCGGGTCTATCAGGATCGCATCCCTCGCTAGCAGTTTCTCGTGCGGGGTATAAACGCATAAGCGACCTGTCCGCCTCCATACATCCTTGATCCGGAAATATGCTTCGCGTTTGAGGCAATTACGGGCATTAGCGTGGGTGCTGCTGCGGTTTTAATTTGACTCGCAACCGTCTCGCTTCGACGCTTTTGAACTTCCGAAATATAATTATACACG